TGATGAGAGGAAAGAAAATCCATCTCCTTCAATCGGAAAGGTCCCCATTAGAGGGGTAAGGCTCCACACTTCGGTGGGAAAAGGGCAATCTCTGAGCACATGATCAAACTAAGGTTATGTTCATGATTGTACATCCGTAATATGATTGTGTGTATATTAGACATAAGAATATCGTTTAAGTCGTAGATAAAATATACAAATCCACAAGACATCAAACAACTAAATATCTTTGAAATTTAGTTTCGGTTTAAAACTTTTGATAGACCAATAGAATGTCTATCTACCTACTAAGGTAATGACAATTTGATTTTTGACGTTGTATTTTTTCTTCTTTTAAATCGAAAATCAAGTCTTGCTAACCAGCGTTAGGAAAGAGTATACATAATTAATTGGAGCCTAACTTGTAAGTGTAACATACAAATTGACGATTTAAGATTTCAAAAACTTATAAACGTGTCTTGCCTTCTCCCCGAAGCTCCGCAACACCTCACATGCATTGATTTTGACTTCATTCTTTCTTTTCTACAACATATTCATTCTAATTGATCATTACGTATTTTGTTGTCAATTATAGACATTAGTATTAGTTTCTTATTTGATAGTTTATTCGAGTATGACATACTACTATATAAGTCTATTTTATAAAATATAGGAATATAGAAGTGATTGTGAACTCTTATGACGACAAGATGATGATGATAATATAGTTCTGTCATGTATAGTCATGCAAAATTGTAAAGTATTATTATTAAGAAAAAAAGAGTAACTCATGAAATATTTATACGACTCGAGATATAATATTTCTAACATTAACATATTGTTTTCTGACTGCGACGGAGGCATTCTTTTGTACGACTATATGATCAAGAAAAATAGTTTTTTGGAATTAAGGTACCATTGCTATGCCAGCCTTAGTTTACAAATGTTTATATGGTAAGAAATTCTCTATTTTTATTTACGACTTTTTTTAAACAGCCTAAAACTCTATTTTTGAAACTCGCTCTAAAGTTGTTATATGAACGTAGGTTCGACTCTAGAGTCATATGATAAGGGGACCCTATAATAAGTCACCATCCTATTTCGAAATTTGAACCATATCATACATTATTATCCATATATATATTGGTCAATGTACGACTCGACAATCTGTTGCATTCCATTGGATCTTACGGCCGGTAAAGTGGTAAACTTATTCAGAAGAGCATCTAAGAAAAAATCGAAAACCTCTATTATTTGATAAAAATGAATAATATATACATGCCTATATAATTTTATCAAAATATGTATAATTTTCTCTCGGACTCATAATTCCTAAAGAAGGGAACATGCATTACATTATTCATTAGCTTCTCTCCATATATCCATGCATCATAAACGTATACGTGTATCCCTATATATATCTCTCGTACCATACATACAATAAATCAGACAAGCTCTTAGTAGATATCAAGAAGGAAGAAATACAAACTTAGAAACAAAAAACAAAATGCAAACACAACACTACTCTTCATCTCTCTTGTTCTTGACTCTTCTTGGTATGTCATGTGCTTTGCTAGTCTCATCGACACAACCTCCATCGCAACCTTCGTCACAGTCTCCTTCACAACTTCCGTCACAGCCTCCGTCACAACCACCGTCACAGCCTCTGTCGCAGCCTCCGTCACAGTCTCCTTCACAACCTCCATCAGAGCCTCCGTCAAAGCCTCCGTCGCAGCCTCCACCACAGCAAGCAAACATCGCTTGTAAATCCACTCCTTACCCTAAGCTATGCCGCACGATCCTCTCGGCCTTCAAATCTTCACCGTCGGATCCTTACCGTTACGGAAAGTTCACACTCAAGCAATGTCTCAAACAAGCTCGTCGCCTCTCAAAAGTCATCAACCGCTTTGCACGGCGCGTGGAGGATGATCCCGGCGCGTCCACGGCAGAAGAAGTCAGTGCGGTGACTGATTGCGGTGAGCTAGCAGAGCTTAGCGTTGAATACCTTGAAACGGTTGAGGAGGAGCTGAAAGCAGCGGAGGTTATGACCGTGTAACGAGTCTTCTCGGTGGCGTTGTGACGAAGACGGTCTTGAGGACGCGAAGAGTGCGTTTGCGAGCGCGATTGGGACGCCGTTGGGAAATCTCACGCGCCTCTATAGTGTGTCGTTGGGGCTTGTGAGTCACGCGCTTAACCGTAATCTGAAGAGGTATAAAGGTTCCAAGGGGAAAATCTTTGGTGGTGGGAACAAAGCTGTTCGCGAACCGCTCGAGACTTTGATCAAGGTAAATTTCCTTTCTTTTTTCTGTTTAGTATAATGTAGGCCTCTAAAATAAACTCTTCTTTATTTTGGTTATTAAAGTAGACATGAACTAACAAAAAAGTGTATATATTTGAATACAACCCTAAATTTTTGTTTTATTTTAGCTTAAATCTTCACATTCGTTTCAAATAGTTTTGAGTGTACGTATATAGGACACTGAATCATGCACATGGATAGAAGGCCCAGTCACATGTTAGAATAATAAGAAGTTCAAGAAACTGTGTGAAATATCGAAAAGCGTTTGAGTTGAGTTTTG